TCTGGTCACCTTAGTCAAGAATGAGTGCTGGTGCCCAGCTGATGATGGAGGGATCACAAGTACAAAGGAATCAGCAGCAATATACATTTATTACAGAAGAAGGCCCACAAACCACAGGGAAAATACATCTCTTAAAAGTGAGACAGGTCCCTCCGTGAATGGAGAGGACCCTGAAGTCTGAACACAGTGTCTTTTATGAGCTAATTAAGCTGCCCAGTTTGTCCCACCCCACCCTGCAACACTGGCTATTGTTCCTGCTTTGGGGGATAATTGACAAGTTGTGGTTATATAAACAACTTCTTAATATGCATGGTCCTCCCTCACACCTTCCTAAAGAACCTATGGGAGGTGGAAATTTGCAAGTTTAATTACATGATAATAGGCCCAATAGACCCAGGTCAGTGTAAGGGGCTCCTCACTATCTGTTCCCACTGGGAAACAGACCTTAGTAGCAACTTGGTTCCTAACCCATGCCCTTAGGAAGAAGCTTGGGGAGAGAAGCTAGGGGGTGGGGCAGTATGTCTCCTCCCAGGCCCAGTACCTCTGGTCAGGGAGAGAAGGGTGGGGGGAGCTGGGGCCTGACATGGCATGTGACCCCCACCCCACGCCAATAATGAAAACAACTCGGGGCTGAGGCTACCCGTCCCTCTCCCCTTTCAGGCATAGCAGTCCTGGAAGTGGAATGGGCAGTGTGCGACGGCCTCGCTGAGGGGTGGGGAGGCTGGTGGAGCCCCTGCACTCAGTTACTGCAGCCCCTGCCTTCAGGGTCTCAGCTGGGCGCTGACAGTGGCTAGGGAAGCCTAGACAAGCTGCCTCCTCTCCAGCCAGGCACTGGCCTGTTCAGCGTTCTGGTGATCTGATGTGTGGGTACAAGGAGATGACACCTGAGCCAAGTTAGCACCGCCTAACAGTAGGAGGCAAATGTGGTTCAAAAATTAAATAGACCTCAGTACTTTTGCAAGGGGAGAAAGTTAACTTAACGGTGAGTAGGTAAGGAGTGTGGACCGTGTTTAAGTAACCTTAGTCATTCCTTAAATCATCTGGTTAACTTACTGTGAAAGAATGTGAGTTAATAGATAATAATTTAGCCTAACGCTGGTTTGATTTCTCAATGGGACCTGGTCATTTTCCTTTTCTCAGTTTTAATAATTTTTACATTTATTTTGCATAAATTAATTATTCATTGGAAGACCAGATTAACCAAAGAGATACACTAGCTTTGAATGAAATATTTAGATTTAGAATTGCCACAACATGGCCTTCTAATCACCTGGGATCTTCTGGTCTTTTTCTATGATAGGTGTTATGAGAAAAATTGGAATTCAAATTTATAAAGTGAAAGGAAATAAATTATATGCCACACAAACTTCTGACTCCCTCTTTTTAAACTAAAAAACTCTTGTGAAAGTTATCTAAAGAACTAATCAGTATGCCTAAAATCCTAATTAGTAGAAAATAAAATAATATCCCAGTTAACTACTTCTGGAGAATTTGTAATTGTAAAGAACCTGAAGTTAAGAAATATCCAGAAAATTTTATTTAAAATTTACGTATTTGAAACCATCAAGCAAAAAAAAAAAAAATATATAGTCCTCAAGACTGTTTTGGGAAAATAATAATAAAACCTATTACACTTATGAGTAACAATATACCAATGGTCAGTAAACTCAAATTATCTGTTACTGTATTAGGTAAATTTAAACATAGACTCTTTTACCACACCATGAAATTAGCCACTTCATTCAGCCTTAAAGTTATGGCCATATTGAAAAACAAAAGCAAGTGGTGAGACTCACATTGCAGTGCTGCCTAGACTCCAAATGAAAGCCAAGAGAGTTTGAACCATACCTTAGTTTAAAAACTTACGGGCGGCACCTGTGGCTCAAGGAGTAGGGCGCCGGCCCCATATGTTGGAGGTGGCGGGTTCAAACCCAGCCCCAGCCAAAAACTGCAAAAAAAAAAAAAAGTTTACTTTTTCTGTATTTCGCTTTCTTTACAGATAATTGCCTTCGCCACAACTCCAGATGGGTACACTCCAGAACGTCCATTGCCGCTACTGATCAGAGTAGAGGATGAAAACGATAACCACCCAATTTTTGTAAACACAACTTACATTTTTACAGTTTCTGAAAATTGCAGAGTTGGTGAGTACCTCCTCCAGCAAGGTATGGCAACTTAAATGGGTTTCATTTCATAAATTAAGATTCACTTTGGCCATTGGAAAGCAGCATATCCTGGTGGCAAGAGCAAGGGACTCTGAGTGCAATTTTATTCTGCCTTTCACTAGCTGCGTGACCCTGGGCAAATTCCCTGATCGCCACATGCTTTAGTTTCTTGGTGTGTAAAATAAATTATTGATACCAGATTGTGATGAAGGTTAAATGAAACAGAACACACTTGTGATGTTAAGTATAGTACTTGAGAAATAGGTGTTCGTAGATGGTATGTCACCTTCTTGTGTGAGATAAAATAATACTTTTAAGAGAGCATAGTTTAAAAAGAATAAGTCTTTGAGCAATTGGAGATTTAGTTCTGAAAATATCTGTTGCTATTCTATGGTGATTAAATGACAGTATTCTGGCACAATAAAGTCACTGAGAATCACACAAATGTTTCTCAATACCCTGAAAATGGTCCATTTTAGCTGGAAGTCAGAATGCAGTTTTTGAGACTTCCTCTACAAAAGTCTGAGTGAAACAAGAATTTGTAGAGACAATTGACTCATGTGGTCAATTTAAGTATAGGTTTACAAACAGCAAAAAGCTAGAATGATTACAATTCTTTAAAAATACAAAGATCATGGAGGAATAATATCTACATTTATCAAAGCATACATTAAATGCGGTGATGATCACCAAATTCCAAAATGTGACAGCATTATGATATTTAAAAGGAAGCGAGGCTTTGCATAGAGGTCAGCAAACTTATAAAAGCCGTGTCTCTGATATATAATAAAGTGGCTCACAACTTTTTTTGAGATGGGTGGAAAGGAATGAAGTCAATGGGAGGTTGAGAATGTGAACGTTTTGGAAATTGAAGAGTGTTCTTCCCTATGTAGGTTCTACTGTGGGACAGGTGTGTGCGACGGATAATGATGAGCCAGACACCATGCACACACGCCTCAGGTACTCCATCATCGAGCAGTGGCCAGCGTCCCCCACCCTGTTTTCTATGCATCCAAAGACAGGTGTGATCACCACGACGTCATCTCAGCTGGACAGAGAGGTAACATACGTATTAGTAAATAAAAATCGATAATGACATTGCTATTTAATAGTACCTGTGTATCTCCTATAGATGTTTTTGGAGAGTGTGTTGTGAATCTAGTTTTAGAAAAAATACTGTTTTAAGTATGTTAATGGAGGACGGTAAATAACTTTGAAGTGTGCTAACTTTGAAATTAACTCATTCTTTCCTGAATTATATGATTTATGGTTTTGTATGATTCATACATTATGTGATTTATTGGATTGTATGTTTTATACAATCAAATTTCCTAATATAGACACATTTATATTAGGTCTTAAAAATAAGAAATATCAAATACGGAAAGCAAACTGTTTGGAATTGTGCAGAGATTTATTATGCACAGAGAAATACTTCTTTTTCTATTTGTCGTCTCTTCAATAATCTCATCTACATTCTTCCCCTCATGTTGATGAAAAGGAAATCTATAGCTCTCTGATCTCTAGTTTGCCATTTTAATTGACTGCTAGAAGTCTTAATTTGGATGTCTCACAGATAATTAAGGTATATAATACATCTCAAATTTCACTTGTCTTTTTTCCTCCCTAACATGCTCTTTTCCCCACGTTTTCTAGTTCAAATAATATTAATGCGTTCCCTATTAATAATTTTATATTGGAGGCATGTTCTCTGAATTCTATGTGGTATCTCCTTTTACTCCCCTAGATTGAATCACTTTCCAGGTATGATGCTATTATCTGAGATTGTTTTATATTTATAGTCTGTCTGTTTCCATGGGAATACTCGAAGTTAGTAATTCATTTACTTATTCAACTATTACCTCCTATTACCAAGCACTAATCATCTGAATTCTTAAAGTAGTTTGTTTTTCCTACTTACTACATTTATGATTCTTAATCTTAAATTGTAGTAATAGCTGTTAATCTGATATTTCTTTAACTCTTAAATCTTCATAGCAGATTAATCTTCTCTCTCTTTTTCTGTTCCTTATGGGTGGATTAGAGCAGTGTTCCTTCAAATTTTTGGTCTCAGGATGCCTTTATAGACTTAAATACTGATGAGGAACCCAAAGATATTTTGCTAATGTATTTATCTATATTTATTATTAGTATTTAAAATGATAAAGGTTTAAATTTTATGTATTAATTTACCCATTTAAAATAATAAATGCATTACATGTTAACATAGATAACAAAGATGAAATTTTTATAAGAAATAAGTACATTTTCCAAAATAATAAATAATTTAATGAAAGAGTGGCATTGTGATGCATTTTTTTCTAAATCTCTTTGATATCTGGCTTAGCATAAGACATATAGGTTCTCTTATCTCCTGTATTTAATCTGTTATAATGTGTAGGTTTAGCTGAAGTATATAAAGAAAACGTGACATGATAGGAAGCTAGAAAAGTGGGGAATATTTTAATAGTAATTTCAGATCATTGTGGATATTCTTCTTGAGTGTATACCAAAGTTTGACAAATGATAATTTCCTAAATGTTTTTTTCTGTGAGTACTCAAGCTTTATCAATGAATTTTGGGACTTTGTTACAATAAAGTCGATTGGTCTATCTTATACTGTTATGGATATTTTGTTGATAGAGGATTTTATAACATCATCCATTGGTCATTTGGAAAATACACTTACACTTATGCAGATCCTTCCTATATTGACATATTTCATTAAACAATATTAAAAAAAACCTCTTCCCCTCCTTGCTATCACTATGGTTGGTAAAAGTTATCCAATAGTCTCATTTTTGCTGGAAAACTCCAATTTACCATTGGCAACAAAGATTTAACAGACTCACCTTGTGTTTGAGAACACATCTTCCAAATACTCTAGTCTAGTCTGATTAGCCATAGGTGTCTTTCATGTAAAAATGGTGCTCTATAAAGAAACAAAACAAAACAATCAATAGCTTGTTTAGCTCACAAATAATCACACAAGTATTTTTGCTTGGATAGATCCTTCTCATAGAATCAATTGGAGACATTTGACCAACGAAGTGTAATGATAGTGCTCTCGAGTAACAGCTTGTTCCCAGGATTCCAGTTTTCCTTTGCTGCCTACAACTTTTTAAGCCCATCAAACGTTAGAATTTCTCTCCCATCTGAAGACACTCTAAGTTAAAATTTAGGGTGACAAAACTTCATTGCTTTGTTTCATCAGCCAATTAGTTATTTCCAATAAATCTTAGTTCAGTACAAACAAAATATGTAGTTTTAAAAAATTTTAATAAAAATAAGGCCATTATTTTTTATATCTGCACATGATAGGTTATGAGGGAGAAGTAAATCAAGAAAATTATGTGTGCAAAAACAGAGACAGAGAGAAACTAACTGTATTTTGGGTAATACATGAGGACAAGGTTTATGAGGTGGTAGAATTAAAGGAAGAAGGTGGCCTTATAAGAAGCTTGAACATCTAGGTAGATGGTTAGGATAGATTTTCATATACTATTTTGACTTCTGAAAAGAGATGAGGAAAGGCGATCAGCCTCATCATTTTATAGAAGAGGAAACCTAGGAACAGATAATTTTCTAACTGCCCATCTGTTATTTCTGAAGTTGGGATTAGAACCCAAGTCTGCTAATGCTTATTCTGGAAGGCATTATTATGTTGTTTTTAATCCTTCCGTATCTTAGTCATTTATAATAAATGAAGCTGGTATGATGAAAACACATTTGTTGAAAGTAGGGATGTTAATAGGAAGCCCTGAGAGCCAGACCTTATTTTCCTTAGAAAGAAAAAATAATATAGCCCCACACCTTCATTTTCATACATTTAATGTCCTTTTCATAAATGTAAAGTAAATCTTTAAAATCTATATTTTTTCATAAGAGGATATTTCACGTTCTTAAAATATGCTGTTTTTATAAATATAAGAATGTACTTTGCATAGGATGTAAAGATTTTGATTAATTAGAGGCAATTTTAAATGTATCCTTTGAATAAGTGATAGCGTCCTCAGTGTCTATATGCTATGAATTGGTAGCACTTTACATTTGAAAAAGTAGTCAATTTTTATAAATTAAGAAGTACCAGTGTGAGGAAGTTGTTTTTAATGTGTGTAAATTAAGATTTCATTTATAATGGTGCTGCTTTCACTGAATCATTAAATTCTTTCTTTGTCTTCAGTTAATTAGTAAATACCAATTGAAAATAAAAGTACAAGACATGGATGGTCAATATTTTGGCTTGCAGTCAACTTCAACTTGTATCATTAATATTGAAGATGTGAACGACAACTTACCAACATTCACCCGTACTTCTGTGAGTGTGTGATATTAATTAAAGGAAAACATGGACCCATTGTTAATTATTCAGTATGCACTTTTCTATCCATACCTTATTTCAAATGCAGTACCCCCAAAGACGTAAAAGTTATTTGGTGTTAGGTTTTTAAAATCATGTAGACATAATACTTTGCAAATTAGAAGAGTAAGACTTCAAAAAATGTTCTTTGTGTGTGTGTGAGAGAGAGTTACTAATGGAATTTTTTTTTTAAATTATTTTAGTATGCAGCATCGGTGGAAGAAAATACAGTTGATGTGGAAATCTTACGTGTTACTGTTGAGGATAAAGATTTAGTGAACACTGCTAATTGGAGAGCTAATTATACCATTATAAAGGGCAATGAGAATGGGAATTTTAAAATTGTAACCGATCCCCAAACCAATGAAGGAGTTCTGTGTGTAGTTAAGGTAAGAATGAATCAGGGAATTGGTTATCTGCTATTTAAAATATCATATAACAGCACACTAGAGTTTAATGGAAAGAAGGGTATTCTGGTAAAGGTAGGCATAAAATAGATATACAGGAAGTGTAAATGCAATGCTCTTCATATATATAGTAGAAAGAGTATGTTCATTTTGGGTAACCTTTTATCAAGGCATGATTTTAAAATATGTGTGTGTTCAAGTAACCAACACCTCTTATCAATTCAGAAATGAGCCCAGCTCTGACGTCCAGGGAACAGTATCAAATCTTCCTAGCCAGTTCTTTCCATGCCCAGGTCAAGAGGCCTCCTCTTATTTATTGGATTTCTCAAACAATGAGTTACTCCTGGTCAGACCCATAGAGACACTATTTGTAGGTTCGCTTATCTATCCTTAGCATGCAGGGTTAGAATGAGAATCCTCAGCCATTCAAAGATATAAATACTTCTAAAACTTGTTTCTCCTACCATCCTCTAGAATCGGAGAAGTTGCGGCTTAGCCAAAGTTAGCATAGCAAGTATTCTGAGCTCCTTCGGTCTAGGGCAAAGTCATAGCCTATTTCTTCTGTGTCTTGAACTAGACTATGATTCTGTTGTGGGTCTATACAGCTTTTCTTTTGTATGTATTCACAAGGAGCATGGATCAAAAATGATGAGTCTTTTTTCCTTACAGTGATGAAGATTAGGTGTAGTTTGTGGATTAATTTCTCTATTTTGAAAGAGCAAAGAACTATCTTTTACATCTTTCTTTTTCCACTCAATCCTGACTCAACTCTTGGTATTCTCGGAAGGAAATTTATCTCTGTGAAGTCTCCAAGACCTGAAAAAAAACATTTTGTCTTCATCTAGGATATGGCTTCACCAATGCTTGTTGAAATTACATATCAGACCAAAGGAAATGAAATTGTATCAAACTTGATACTTGAAGTTTTTAAGAAAGGAATTGAAATGGAAGGGAAAAAAAGAAATAGAGAAAGAAGGGGAAGGAAGGGAGTGAAAGAAAGAGAGAAAGAGAGGAGAGAAGGAGGAAGGAAGGAAGGGAAAGAAAAGGAAAGGAAAGGAGAAAGAAAAAGTCATGGTCGTGAACTTCCTCTTTCCTTGTTCCTCTCCTCTTGAAAGAATTTTTAAAATTTTGCCTCACTTTTTCAACCTCAACCAGATAACAAATAATAATTTTATTCATCTCAGGAGGGTGAGCAAGCTATCCTGAAATTTATGGTGAACTAAGTAACTATTAGTTATGGTAGGAGTATCTCATGTATTAACATCCAGGCACTTTCATTAAATACTTCCCAAAATCTTTATCGGTACATATGATACTACTTGTCTTAAAATTAGAGTTTGGGGAGCAGTATTTTGGGGGTATTTTTGCTGGCTCCACCCCGAATATTGAATCAGTGGAAGAATTCCCCTCCCTCCCCTACTGCCGGTTTCAGGGTAAATGTTTGATGTGCTCCTGACTAGCCCAGGTCAGCATTCACGTGATTCTAAATCTAACAAGTTGCACGTACTATTTAGCATTGCCAAATATTAAGTGAGTGGATCTGATTTTCAATGCATTTGCTTTTGTAGCCACTGAATTATGAAGAAAAACAACAAGTGACCCTACAGATTGGCGTACTTAACGAGGCTCCCTATTCCAGAGAGGTGAGTTCCAGATCAGCCATGAGCACGGCCACAGTCACGGTTAATGTGAAAAATCAGGATGAGGGGCCTGAGTGTAGCCCTCAAACACAGACTATCCGAATTAAAGAAAACGCTCCGGTGGGAACAACAAGCCAGGGGTATAAAGCATATATCCCCGAAACAAGAAGTAGCAGTGGCATAAGGTATTTGTAATTCTGTTCTTGCTAACTCCAAATGGACAACTTCTTTTGATACCCATACTATAATTTGGCTTATGAGAATTTTTCTTCTCTCCATTCATCATTATTAACAGGTATAAAAAATTAAATGATCCCAAAGGGTGGGTCACTGTTGATGAAAATTCAGGATCAATCCAAGTTTTCAGAAGCCTAGACAGAGAGTCAGAGACTGTCAAAAATGGCATATATAATGTTACAGTCCTTGCATCAGACCAAGGTAAGAACTTTGTTTTTAAGCCAGCTACATGCATCCTCAGCAGTATATATCCTCAATGTCTAAACCTATACCGTACGTTTTAAAGCTTGGAGCTACAGACACTCAATCTTTCTTTCTGTCCAGAATGATATGGAAAGTAATTGAAAGGTTTGCTGTAATTTATTAACTCATGTCTGCTTTCTGATAGCGTCCTCAGTGTGAGATGTAATTACAAACTAGTCACAGAAACACTTGAAACCGTAATTTTATTAAAGTTAAATAATCATTCAAAATTGAGAAAATAACTTTAGTAAAGTTGGTTTTAGTTCATCTATTCGTTTTTCTTAAAAGATCCACTTGGGCAGGAATGTTCATTACAGGGAGACCATACTTACTGCACTTTTGGAAAACAGCTTTAACTTTTTACAGGAAACGAACGACATAGTTGGGGGGCTTGAATTCCAACTAAAGACATTATGCAAAAATAAATGATAGTCACCACTAATAGCCTATCAGACTCTAAGCTCCCTACTCTGCTTTCAAAGACCCCTGACCCTTCCCCCAGTGTCACCGTGCTTCTTTCTCTCCTCCTGTTCCTTGTCTCCAAATCATGGGTGTCTGTCCTTCTCCTTGAATTTCCTTGAAATAGCCAGACATGCCCTTGTTCATATTTTCTTCCTTTCTCCTCTTAAAAATTAGTCAAATCTGTGAAAACATTTATTGCTGTGATCTAGGAAATGAATAAACACATCTAACTAGCAATCACTGTCTGTACGACCCATTTGAAGGCAATAATATTTTTCTCTTAACTTCCCTGAGGACATAGTCTGTGATTGCTTAGCATTATAAGTTATAAGTGCTTAATAAATATTTAAAAATATTTTTCAATGTGTAATTTCCTTGTGAAAACCTAAAACATAAAAAAGTTTGTTGTTTTTTTTTTTCTTTTTTCTAGCTGGGCGAACATGTACTGGGACGCTGGGCATTATCCTGGAAGATGTGAACGATAACAGCCCATTCATACCTAAACAGACAGTGGTGATCTGCAAACCCGTCATGGCAACCGCGGACATCGTTGCCATTGACCCTGATGAACCTAGACACGGCCCACCCTTTGAGTTCACTTTGGAGAGTTCTGACCCAGAAATTCAGAGGACGTGGAGACTGGGAAAAATTAATGGTATGTATGTTTAAACATTGCTTTGTTCTTTTCAACATCAACATGTTTTGTCCTAATCAAACACAAGAATCATTGACTATATGGGAACCACCAACTTAAGTGTCTCAGTTCTGTTGTGGTGGGAAGCAGGTCTCTCCAGTGTCTGCCCCAACCCTATGCTAGGATTCCTTTAGGTGTGTCACAAATTCTCATTACCACTCCAAATACACACACACACAGACACACAGACACACACGCACGCACACACGCACACACACACACACACATTCCCTTACTCAGATTAAGCCGAAAACAGTCACTTCTTGACTTGTGTATCTCCCACCTACATACATAGTTTTCTAGTTGATAAGAGCTACCCGATCTGCTGCAGACTGAGTGCCCAGGAGCAGACTCTGAGACTTTGAGGGCATCTCCAACAGGTGTTTATTAAGGAATTTGCCTGCGATCAATAGCTGTGAAAGAAAAGAAGGGACGCAGGGTTAGGCAAAAAGACATGTGAAGCTGGAGTGCAGGTCACATGGCAGCCTGGGCTAATCTCATGGGAGTCTGAGCTAAGTGGCCTTCAGAAGGTCCCACGTCCATCCCCTGTTCTCACTTACTGTTCAGTCAGTTGATGTGCGCTGCCCAGAGGGGCATGAGCCTTGGCAAGGAGACATAATCACTGAGACAGTAAGTGCTTCCTTGCAAGGGGCCAGGGCCAACACCACACTGTCTACCGCAGTCTGCTCCCCTCTGCCACCGTGCGGACTTCTGCCCATTTTGTGCGTACCGTGTTCTCCTTGGGATTCTCCCCCGACCTGTTTCCCAGTCTGTACTTTTGATGTTAGCCCAGAAGGATCGATGGTGACAAGAAAGTAAAAAATGAAGAGTCTTCTCTCCATCACCACCGCTGCCCACCCCTGCATCACTCCTGACTCTTCAGCCTGTGACCCTGGAAACTGAGCAGGGTTTAGTTTTAAGATGCTGTTGGTTGTTTTCCAACCCCACATTTTCAGTGAACACACCTCAGTTTCCTAGTATGACAGAAAAGAGAGGCTGTGCGAGAATATGGAGGAGGAACGGGGTAGGAAAAGAGAAACAGGGAGCTGTAGAGACAAGGTCTCGCGTCCTGCTCAGTGAACGGAAAAGATTTTCAGTTTTTTATTTTTACCATAGTCTGGGATGTATGGGTGTGAATGTGGGTATCAGTTGTTCTATTTCTCGGGAATAGCCGACTTTATTCTGATATTTAGCCCTTTCTACTTCTTTAGTGTCATAAGATTATGTCTTTTTGCACAGCATTGACAGGAGGTAGTGATTTCTTTTCAACGTTCCTACTTAGCAAAATAACACTTGGGCAGCAGCGCGTTGGTCAAAAACTTTGTTATTTTAAGGATTTATTGGTGGGTGTAGTCATCCCAAAGCCTGGGAAACACCAAGGCCATACCCTGCAGAGGCTCTGAGGTCAGATAGGCTTAGTGTCAAATGTTGGCTCCACCAGGTATTAGTTGTGTCAATCTGACCATGCGATTTATTTTTTATTTATTTTTCCATTTCCTCATGTGTAAAATGGGATTATTTGGAGGAGAAAGTGAGATGATGAGCACAATAGACCTTGGTACATGATGAATCATAAGTTTCGGTTCTGTCGGTCTTGTTATATTATGGTTTCTCTTAAAATGGATATAATTGCATGATCTCTTTCCCCAAACGTTGAAATTTGTATTTAAAGCTTCAAACACTGTACAAAGTGAGGATGTCACACTGGGCCATTAAGTTGGAGAAGAGTTGTTCTCTGGCATATGACAGCTACATTTTGAGTATTAAAATTTAATAATTTAAGATTAAAATTGGATTTTAGTCTGGATATTTTCTATTCTTGATCTAAAAAACATTCGTCGAGGGCGGCGCCTGTAGCTCAAAGGAGTAGGGCGCCGGCCCCATATGCCAGAAGTGGCCTGCCCTGGCCAAAAACTGCACACAAAAAAAACCATTCATCAAAACTCAGAAATGTTTATTTGGTGCCAATGTCCTTCAGGACCAGGAGATGTAGTTCCACTACTGGAGCTCTGCACCTGCTGGTATGTGTACGGTCAGGCGTGTTAGGAGTTTATCATAATAAGTAACAAGAGTCTATGTTTATTTGGCACAATTTACAGAAACAAAGTTAAGGGAAACATCTAGAATTTCAGACTATTACTCTGATGAATCATGTATAAAAGGAAATACACACTGGGTTAATTAAATATTTTAAAGATATGATAAAGACTGATCTCTTAACAAGCTATTAGTTTGATAGGAAGGATTTTCTTTTTTTGAGACAGAGTCTCACTTTGTCACCCTGGGTCATTCTGGGTGGAGTGCCGTGGCGTCATGGTTCACAGGAACCTCAAACTCTTGGACTCAAGTGATCATCTTGTCTCAGCCTCCCGCTGAGTAGCCAGGACTACAAGTGCTACCCATAACACCTGCCTATGTTTTCTGTTTTGGGTAGAGATGGGGTCTTGCTCATGCTCAGCTTGGTCTCAAACTCCTGAGCTCTGGCAATCCACCCGCCTCAGCCCCACAGAATACTAGGATTACAGGTGTGAGCCACAGTGCCTGGCCAGATAGGAAGGATTTTTTTACAGACAAAATATATTACTACAAGAGCCAAAAATCCTATATATAAGAGGCAGCATAGACAGACTTTTGTATGCAATGTGTTTGCAGTGGCTATAGATTAGAACTTCTCAGTTCATTAAAATTCAGAATCTTCCAGTAGTTGTACCATCCCATCAGGAACGTCCATTTTGGCTCGGCGCCTGTGGCTCAAGTGGCTAAGGTGACAGCCACATACATACACCTAAGGTGGCAGGTTCGAATCCAGCCCGGGCCCACCAAAACAACAATGACGGCTGCAACTAAAAATAGCTGGACGTTGTGGTGGGTGCCTGTGGTCCCAGCTACTTGGGAGGCAGAGGCAGGAGTTGGAGGTTGCTGTGAGCTGTGATGCCACAGCACTACCCAGGGGGACAGCTTGAGGCTCTGTCTCAAAAAAAAAAAAAAGGAATGTCCATTTATAGGGAACTGGGATAGCTGTCTGGTTAGTAGCTATGCTCAAAAGAAATTGATGACATTCCATAATGCTTGGTTTGATTTTGATTTTTTTCAGATACAGCAGCACGTCTTTCCTTTCTGAATGATCCTCCATTTGGACAATACAATATACCCATCCGGGTTGCAGATAGATTTGGCCGGGCTAGAACTAATTCACTGGCTGTTAGGTTATGTGACTGTATTACCGAAAATGACTGCTCGTTCCGTGCAGATCCACGCGTTGGCGGAGGAGAAGTAAAACTTGGCAAATGGGCTATCCTTGCAATATTGTTGGGCATAGCATTGCTATTCTGTAAGTCCTTTTTGGAATTCAAATAATAGCCTTTAGAGTAACTTTGAAGAAACGATCTTAGAACCAACATTATTACCTGTAGCTGATCATTTGTATATAATTGAATTTCTGTTTATTTAATTTATATATTTTAAGCACATTCATTCTTTTCAGCTAAGACGTGAAATTCCGTGTAGAAATACAGCATGTAACATATATCGTAAGGCAGACTTTTCTATTGTACACCGTCTGACACAAGCAGTCATATTGATATACTCTAGAAAATTGTCTTCTTTTAATATATGCTTTTAAATTTATGCTTTATATGTGTATTAATCTTTGTAAATTCAGAACTTCATGTTACTTTATGATAGACTCAAGTAAGTTCTTTCTTTCTCCAGGTATCCTATTTACATTAGTCTGTGGGGCTTCTAGGGTCCCCCCAAAACCAAGTGCCTTTCCTGATGATTTAGCCCAGCAGAACCTAATTGTGTCAAACACAGAAGCCCCTGGAGATGACAAAGTGGTAAGACGTCCATCTTTTTAAAGTAAATACAAAGGATGAATTATCCTATAATGTATAGTTCTTCTAAAATTATTTTTTCTGAAAAAACTTCTTTTAATGTTAGGTAACTAACCATAAAATTTCATCAGTCCTGTGGATAAATGACTTTGATTTCCCTGGTGATATATGGCATTTCAGTTTGGACATATCATGTCATTAACCAGGAAATACCTTTCACGTGTTGTTATTATTATTATTTTCAGTTTCAAATATTCCATGATTTCAATGTTAGGCCTTGTCTTTCATATATATATATGACTATACATATATACGTGTGTGTGTATATATATATATATATATATATTTCATTGCTGTTGCCAGAAAAAAATTTTAAATAATTTTGCTGGTGATCTGTGAATAATTACACGAAACATTTTTGCAGCACAAACAACAGTTTAAATATATAAACGTATATGTGTGTGATATACATAGTAACATATGTAGATGTGTGTAATCTACGTAGTAATATATGTAGATATATATTTAAACTGTTGTTTGTGCTGTTAAAATTTAATTATTCACAGATCGCCAGCATAATTGTTTTAAATTTCTTTCTGGCAACAGCAATAAAATTAGTACAGGCTTTGATCCTCGTGGGAAGAATTTTAATAGATATTTTCTGTGTCTACTCTGGAGGTTAGGAAAGAGCGTGAAGCCAATATGACTTAGCAATGCTAGCAAGTGGCCGCGTGGCTCCAGCTTTGTTTTCTAGCCCAA